CCCCCCCCCCCCCCTATCTCCCCATATCACGACGCGCCGTTGTGGACGAGGCTCGCCGCCCCAGAGGCGGAGTGCGTCTTCCGGAGTCCCCAACTAGCGCCCGAGAGACACGTGTTTCGCTGTACTCGCCCGTACCCGCCTTCCGCGGTATTCGCTGTGCCCGTCTCCCTCGTCCTCACGCGGTGCTCTGAGTACGCTGCACAATACCGTCTCCACGCCCTCGGGTCTAACCCCGCCGTCTCTGGCGACGCGCCTGGGCGGTGCTCGCGGGAGCGATCGCACACCCTTTGTCGACTCGTAAGGTTGGCGTATTCTAGGGTCGCGGCTCGCGGCCTCCATCGAGAGCGCGCGGCCGGACCAGCTGGACAGCCTCGTCGCGCCGCTCGGGCTGGCGGGGTGGCTCTTCCAAAAGTACACGGACAGAAAGGCAAGCTGAGGCGTGAGGGCGGCGGGATTGCGTCGCGTCCGACGCGGGCTGCTGCCCGTATCTCTCTGCGCCGAACTTGAGGACAGCGCAGCGCTGCTGCGAACGGACAACAGCCCTTCCTCGCGACATCGGCTTTGCGTCTCAGTCTTCTAGACTGTCTGAGCTCCCCTCCGCCCACTTTCCCACCCCGCCCTCACTGCCTGGCTGGCTCCCTGGCGCGCCCGCGGCGGCGTGTGCAGGGAAGCTCCCCAGGGCTGTGATGTGTCGATTGTTTGTGGTAAGGTAAGGTAAGGTAAGGTAAACTTCTCCACACACACGAGGTGGTGGGGCAAGGGGGGGCAACCCTCGCGTCTCCACGTCTGACGACAGGAGCCCCACGGCATTCAAAGTGCAAGGCCCAGTGCGCGTGGGTGAGCGGTGTGTGTGTGTGTGTGTGTGTGTGTGTGTGTGTGTGTGTGTGTGTGTGTGTGTGTGTGTGTGTGTGTGTGTGTGTGTGTGTGTGTGTGTGTGTGTGTGTGTGTGTGTGTGTGTGTGTGTGTGTACGTGTGTGTGTCACGTCACTGCATCCTCCGCCGGTTCCTCCCGTCGCCTCTTCTTTGTTCGAATGTTTTTCAATCCATCCTTCACGAAGCCCTCCCATGTAGCTAGCGTTCTTGGCGAATGTCTCGAAATGGCCAGCAGGCGCTGTCTGCTCGCGGTCTGTGCGGGCCGCTCGTCCTCCTCGCCCTTCTTTCGTCCTCCCGTCCCTCCCCTCCACCATGGCCTTCTCGGCACTTCTTTCTCCATCCGCCTCGCCCTGCCTTTTCGTCGTTCGTGTTTGTGGTATGTCCGCACCGCTGGGTTGTTGCGCGAGTATATGGGACAAAAGCGTCGAAAATGTCCCAATCGTGTCCCATATACAGGCCTGGTCAGGTTCTCGCTCATCCACCCAGTCCCACCCTCCTCGACCTTCCCGACGATACCAGCGGGCCCGCCTCCACCTAGAAGACTGGTGCTGGGGGGTGAGTGTTCCCTGCTTCCGGCTACTGCAATACCTGAGCT